TCATACCTGGGCCTGCACATGGAAGCATCCGGTAAAAGATGTCTGCTGTCCTGGTATGTGTTGATTCAGTTTTGTTTCCTTCAGTTCCCAAGTGATTAACCTTGCGCAGCTCATTGAACTTCTCTAAGCCTCATCTTTAAAACGGGAATAAAATACTACGAGCCTCTGAAGAGATAAATGGGATAATGAGCAAAGAGTACCTGACAACCTAATCTCTCTAAAGCTCAGACTTCTCCTTTTGAAATTAGGAATATCCTTTTAGGGTTTGGTGAGGATGAAAGGAAATGACAGAGCTAAAGCCTCTAGCACTGTTCCAAGGCCACATTTGTTTACTTTGAAAAGCTAGCTATGTGTAAGACTTTCTCAAATCATATAAGTCAGTACACCTTAAATGTATACAGTGCTGTATGTCGATTATATCTCAATAAAACTGCCAGAAAAAAAGCGTAAAAGTAAGACATGTTGACTATACAAAATTTGGAAAGTTTAGGAAAGTTGAAAAATAAAAATCCCCAGTAACTGCAATGTTTTCTGGTATTTGTTGCATCTGTTTATCATTATCAGTCAATATAGGATCGTTCATGCTGCTCGGAAAGCCATACAAGAATCTCAATGGTTTAACAGCACAAAGGTTTATTTCAGCTCATACCCAGACCACATGAGTCCAGGTGACTTGCAGGGGTGATATTCCTCGAATGGTGTCTCCTGTGATCTCCTGGCCCTTCCATATCAACCACGTTCCCAGGACTGCGGAGGCCACAGAAGAGTGAGCTGGGGAGGGGAGAGCCAGCAATTAAACACTGCCACCCGGAAGTGATGCATGTACGTCCCTCACATTTCATTGGCCAAAGCAAGTCACATGGCCATGCCTGATCTCAAGGGGTGTGGAAGTGAAATCCTCCAGCGTGTCTGGAAGTGGCGGGGGTGGGGTGGGGGTGGGACATGAGTGAACAGTGGTGATATCTACCCCTCATGCTATGGAACTGAGATCACATTATGTATAGGATTCTGCCTGCTTCTCTTGTCTCTAACCATTACATCATAAAATATTCTTTGAAAACATGTGGCAAACATTTAGAGTTAATAAAACATTTTAAGTGGTATGGTGACATGATTTCCCTTTTCCTTTTTCTCTTCTCCCTCTTATTTTTCCAATTTGGGGAGCTGCGTGAAGGTGGTGGAGGTCCAGGCCCCAAATCTTTGCATGGCATCACTCCGAAGCGCCTCCCCTTCTCCAGGCCGACCCAGGACAGGCAGGACCTGTCGCTGCTTCTTGGGAGAGTTTGTGCAGCTCCATGGTGTCGTTCCCTCCAGAAGTAACACGTTTGGAGGTGAGGCCAAGAGAACCTGCTGAACAACAGCCGGATTAACAACTCCACATGTGGGGTGCGGCTGCACGTGGCTCTGCTGGGGCCTCCTTGTGCAGACAGTCAGCCAGGCGGTGTGAATGTGCAGTGTTAAAAGTGACACCAGCGTGGTGGAGGCGTCGTTGTCAGCTGTTGCAGGAGATGACACCCGGGCCTGCGGGGCTGGGTGAGAGCTGAGAGGCAGCAGCCCCTCCTTGCTTGGGTCCTAGGATCCCGGGAGACTAGAGGGAAGGGGTCCAGGAGGAAGTGATCATGTACGGGAAACTGACGCCATGGGGATGGGGATGGTGAGGAATGTGTCAAGGTCAAGAGGCTGAGAGCAGGAAGGGAAGTCCCCCCACCGCACCCCAGTCAGGGAGTCAGGAAGCCCCGCTCTGCGGAGTGCTGCTCAGTTCCGTTTCCTCCAACAGAATTTTGCTAGGTGCCCATTCTGGTCATGCAGACAACACTTGTGCTCCTCACAAAAGAAGTTGAAGACAACCTCTAAGATTTATAATCCAGTTTTGAAAATGTTGCTGACGCACTTGAAAACATTTAAGGAGGGAGGCAGAGTGCACTCTTGTCTGGCGTTGGGCTGTGTGGGCAGATGGTCAGAGGACTTTGGAGGAGGGGGAGTTTGGGGAGGGCACAGAAATGTTCCAAAGGGCCCCTTTTCAATCGCTAGCATCCATGGAATCCCAGAGAGGAAGAGAGGGGAAAGGAAACAGGGAGTTATTTAATCCTCCAGCAGTGTGTGAACAGGACAAGGATTCCATTTCGCAGATGGAGAAACTGAGACCTAGAAGGTCTAACCAGCTTCCCTGGAGGCAGAGCTGCAACTGGAGCTCAGATTGTGCAGCCCAGTGCATTCTGCAGGAAGACTTGTATGCATTTTCTCTCACAGGCTGAGCGTGTAGGTCTAAGATCTGACCTGTGTCCAGTGTTGGCTGGACCAAGGTTCATTGTGAAGTACACCTCAGAATGTTCACTCCCTTGGGTGTGAAATAAAACAACTCACCTCTAGTTTTATGGTTTACAAAATACTTGCCTCTTTATTACCTCATTTTCTCCTTGCAACAACCCTGTAACAAACACATTATTACTGTCATTTTGTAATTTAGGAAACTGAGGCTCAAAGAAAGAAAGCCTTGCGTTCATACAGCCCATTACGGGTAGGATGGAGCCCAGGTCAGCTGATCTCACTGGCAGGCACTCCTCTGTCTTACAAGTCACTCAGGACAACCAAGATGTTAGTTACTTTGCTTGTCCTGTAGGATTTCCTCTTCTAATGTGACTGATTTAGAGGTGGCTGCCCATTGGCTGGCCAGTAGCCAATCAGATATGTCGGTAGGTTGGCCTAAGTCTGCACTGGGAGGCCCTGGGAGCTAGGGAACTGGGGCTTGACTTTGGGAGGGATGTTAATGTGAAGTCTGCATGTGCCTGTTTCTGAGGTCTTCAGTGCTGCCTTCATTTTTCCCTCAACCCCCTGCCTGCTGCCACCCCCTGCTACACACACTCCCTTGGAATCTGTGAGCCCTGGAGCCCCCTGATAACCTTTCCCTTTTCTCTATCCAAGGCTAGTAGGATTTCCTGCTCCGAGGAAGTCGGGTAGCCCAAGGCATCAAGGAAAGCAACCCTGCAGAATTCAGAGAACTGTGCTCTGCTGCTGGCCCCAGGCAAGGCATCTTCTTCTCTTTCAGATGACACCTTTCTGGGGGGAGCATGGTGCCTGCCTCTAGAGTTGAAAGAGCAGGACCACTGGGCCCCACCCGGTCAGTGCTGAGACCTGCAGCTGACATTTCCAGCACACTTTGTGCCGCCTGCCCAGCTCCTGGCCTCCCAGCCACCATGTCCTGTGTCCTCTCCGTACTCATCAGCTCGGGCTGGAACAACTTGTTTTCACACGTCTCACAAGCCTCCTTCCAGGGATGTATTTGACAAATGTTTGCTGAGCGTGTCAGTCACCACTCCACAAGCAAGTGTCTCACGTTCACTCCCAGCTCGGACCCTGGGATCTGTTTTTCTGTCAGCCTTGCTGCTTGGCCACAGAGCTGGGCTCCTCTTGGCCAGACTTTTCACTTCCTTCTTCACAAGATGCTTCAGACTGTTCCTCTAGTTTTGCTGGCCTTGCAGCTCTGGGTTAAATGCCACCATTTCCATCAGTGCCTGGGAAGCTGGATTTTCGAGCATCCTCTGATGGGCTTTGGGTGTGTCTCAGCGCTGTAAGCATAACCAGAACTTCTGCTCGATTGGGACATATGAAATACAGTCATTCAGAAGAATTAACCGTAGGCCTGGCTTTGAGATGCTTCTAGGAGAGCAGGGGTCTCAGAAGCCTGAAGTCATTTTCACAGCCTACAGATATTCTCACCTGCCCCATCTTAACCACCTTCCCATCTGTATCCTATCCTGCCCTCAAGCTCTCTCCCTTCACCACCAAATAACCTTCAAACTCTGGTCCCCAAGGCCAACTCCATTTTCACCCACTTCTGCCCCCTCTGTACCTGCTTCTCATGTGATTGAATTGTCTCAACCCTATGGAGGCATCACCCACTGTCAAAGGCCCCTCCCCTGCCCACAGTGACCCCACTCCTTTTCTCCCCGCTTCAGTGTTACTCCCTGATTTCTTCCCTTCTGCTAATCACAGCTCAATCTTCCCTGGAAGCCCAGCTTCAGTTTACAGATGAGAAATCCAACGCTCAGAGAATGTAAGTAAGCTGCCCTCAGTCACGCAGCTGGGACGTGCTGGAGCAGAGATTTGCACGGAGTCTGGCTGAAGATTCACCCCAGAGTTCACGCCTGCACAGCCCGCTGAACTCATCAAACGTGACCAGTCATCTGTTGAAGTCATGTTGTGGTTCTGGCCTTCCACTCCAGTGGGAGCCCATCACAGCACCTCCCTGCAGCCCTTTTCTCCCACTAAGCCACACATCTTGATGTTTCTCCATCAAATTCACACCCAGATGTAATTCTCCCCTGCACGATTCTGTCACTGTGAGTAAGGCTCTCCATCTCTTTTCCTTAGCAGACGTTTGTGCTTCCTTTCTGAGAGTGGCCTGTTGCTATCTGCTCGTTTTCTTTCGGGTTGTTGATTTTCCTCCTACCGTAGGAGTGCTTTCACATTTAAGGAAACTCACCCTTTGCCATATGTGTTGCAAATATTTTTCCAGGGTATTTTTTTTTCCTAGTGTGATTTTATTATAATATATAGTCAAATTTTCAATATTTATTTTTTGGCTTGACATTTACTGTCAAGCCAGTTGGCCTTCTTATGCAGTATTCTTCTTGGCTTTTGGGGGTGTGAGGTCTCCCCTCACCCTGCCCTGAACTGTGCAGACTGATGAGTGTTGTCTATACGCAGCTTTGCCAGCCTTTCTGTTAAGGTTACTTTCAGCTTCCTCAAAAACAGGGTGAAACTTACATGTGAGCCCCTCCTCCTTGAGGATGCCCTGGTGAGGATGCCCTGGTGAGGATGCAGGAAACAGGAGAGCAGGTGGTACCTCATGGTCCATCTGCCCAGAACTGTACAAGGGACAGAGCAGGAGGAGGCCTGAGGAGGCCCACTGGCTGGGATGACCTCTCCAGTCGGTGGGTGAGTGGAGGCTGGAGGGGCGGGGCGGGGCAGGGTGGGGTGGGTAGAAGGAACTGGGAGGGATCTGGAGGCAGAGGCCAGAGAGAGCTTTGTCAGGAGGGGAACGGAGGGCATTCCAGACAGGAGCAACGGTAGGAGCAAAAGTGTACAAGAGGATGGCCCATTTGGAAGATAACAAGACCAGCCTTGGCCGAGACAGGTTCCTATGAAGGATGAGAGGGTGAGGACCCGGGGCAGGCTGGGGACCCCGTGCTCACTGGGCCAGCAGCGGAAGCGGTCCTGGTGCTCACAACGGCAGGAGCAGCGACGCCCCCTCCCACAGCCGGGGACAGGCTCTGGGGTCCCTGGGGTCGGGGCAGCAGGGAAGGGCGGGGGCGGGTTCTTGGCGCGGTCTGGTGATGCCCTAATTAAGCCGCGGGTACATTTCCCAGCCCAACTGTCAGCCGCGCGCTGTGCAAGCCAGGAATGAATATTCCCAAAGCGTCAACAGAAGGAAGTTCTTCATAAAAACGGAGCCCGAGGGCGTGAAGGGAAAACAAGCCCTGTTCACACGCAGGCAGCGCATCCGCTCGGCACAGCCCGGAGGAGGCGGAAGCGCGGCCGGGCGACACCGTTGCGGGCGGCGCCGTGAGCCCCCGGCGCGCGCAGATGCTGAGCGTCCCGGGAGCTGGAGGCTCTTTTTCTGCCGAGCCTGTGCCCCTTTGCGGCCCGCCGGGCTCCCCGGCTCCTCTTGGCGGGGGCTCGGGGCCCAGGTCACCGCCTCCAAGGCCCCAGGTAGGGGCCCTCCCGAGACAAACAAGCCAGGAAGCTGGCCTGAGCTTCGCCCCCGTGCTGGGGCGCCCTGCTATTGGGCCCCGAGATGCCCTCTCCCTTCGTGACCTTGAGCACTTCATTCTCCTTCTCTTGCTTCTGTTTTCTTTTCGGAAACATGGGGCTAATAACACACACTCCAGGCTTGTAAGGATGGAAGGGGATACATGTACATTACTTGCTGAAGTCATAGCTCCATGAATGAAAGGAGATTTGAGGGTGGAGAGCAGAAAAGATGTTTTAAAAGCAATTTCTCTTTCCCTGCTCTAGGGAGTTCGCCTTCTGTTCCTCCACGTGCTGCGGTAGCTGCAGAAAGACTCTCCAACAAGAGGTCATCCATCATACGGAGCCCTCTGTCTAAGCCCCTCCAGGGCTCCCTTCACCCACAAAACAGCCCTCAAACTGAGATGATGAAGCCCGTCCAGCTGAGTCTGTCAACTTCCTTGGCTCCAGCTCCTTCTGGGCACCCGGGCCCCAGCCAGGTCCAGATCTGGTGGTTCCAACACCAGTCATGTTGCTTTGTCCCCTTCACTGCCTCCCTCCCTCCCTCCTTTTGTGTCTCTGCAGAGGCTTTAGTGGGGATGCTGACAGTGTAGACTTGGAGGCCAGATTGCCTGGGACTGATCCCAACTTGATGGTCCGAATAGCACCTGGCCCCTTATAGGCCACATTGTTATTCACTCTGCATCCATCCTGCCCCCTTGAGCTCAGTGTCACCTCTCTCTCCACCAGCCAGCTATTCCTCTTGATTAGTAGCTCCAAGGGCAGGTGCCAAGCTTCCTTCATTCTGCTTCTCCAGCATCCAACACAGTGCCTGACACACAATAGGTGCCCAATGTCAATAACTGGCCATGCACATGGCAGCCTGGGTGGTGTGGATAAGCAGCCCTTAAAAGACCCTCTCTCCAACAAATAACACACATATGTAAAGCCTAAAGCTCCACCTTTGGTCAATTCTTTGGGCTGGACTGGCTACAGAAATTTACAGAGCCCACTGCAAATGAAAACATAGGCCCTTTGTTACAAAGTTAAGAATTCCAAGGTGGTGACAACAGAGTATTAAATTCAGCCTGCAGCCCTTCTGGGCACAGGGCCCTGCACTACTGCACGGGTTGCACACTGAAGTAGCCTTACCTCTGGATGATAGATGCCTTGAGTGTGTCCTATTAAAATATTATGACCACCATCCTTTCTGGGGCAGTTCCTGTAAGATAGTCATGCTCAGCTGAAGAGGAACATTTCCCTTATTAAGAAAGACCTGCAAAAACTTTGGAATTAGTGGGCAAGGATGTATCCGTTCATTTAGGTCAATGAAGCTTTGATTAAAAACAAAAGCGAGACCCTAAGTAGATTCTCCTTCAGTGTGATTGTTAAGTTCCAGGGCTCTCAGCCCCCTGCCCTGCCCTCTGTCCTGCTAATCAAGCCTTGTGTTGGTACTGTGGTTATTTGTTGAGTGTTCACTGTATGCAGGCACTGCTCTAGGACCCAGCATGATCAGTGGAGATGAAGCCTTCCTAGGGCTGGCACTGTAGTGGGCAAGACAGACAGTAAAAATAAATAAGGGGACAAGTACACAGTATAATATCAGGTAGTATTTAGTGCTACTTGGCAAAAAAAAAAAAAGAAAGGTTAAGGGTGGGTGTAATGGTAAAATAGAGTGGTTAGGGAAGGGCTCCCTGAGGAAGTACCTGTGGAGTGGAGACCTGGACAAGATGAAGGGGCAGCCATGCCCAGGTATGGGGATAAACTGTTCCAAAATGTGGGAATAGCAAGTGCAAAGGCCCCGAGGCAGGAATGTGACTGGCAAGAGCAGCAAAGGGGCAGAGAGAGGTAGTGTTGGGGGAGATGAGATCAGAGATGTCCTGGTGACCCAGAGCAGGCAGGGGCTTGTAGTCTCCAAGGAGAGTTTGGATCTGATACCAGTTGGCCACAGGCAAGAAGTCATTAGTGTAATGACAGCAGGCTGTCACTTACCTTCCCAGAGGTGATTCCCAAACTACTTTTCCTCTGAATACTGAGCTTCTGTGTTTCAGCACTGCCTCTCAGGAGCCGTGGCAAGACCCAGAGTGCACAGAGGATGAGAGGCTGCTGGGTTCGAATTTTTTTGTGCAGTTACTGCTTTGGGACTTGGATTCAATGCTTCAGCTCTCTGAACTGCAGACTCTTTTATCGCATCCTGTAGCTTCGCTGGGAGGGCTCAGGATGTAAAGCCCCTAGGAGGAAGCATGACACACAGTAGGCCCTCAGAGGCACTTGGTAAGTGTTAGCCACAGTTATCACCCCTTTTACCTTTTTCAAGGGGGGTTCATGATTGGTTTTCATCACAGCATCGCTAGAACTCCAATGTCTGCATCTTCCTGGGGAACAACAGAGTTTTGTGATATGTGTTGTCATCAAGTTTCCTTCTGAGGGAGAACAGGAAGGGAATTTAATGTTCTATATCATGCCCCTGCCTGGCACTACTACCCTGTGCATAGACCTAGGACAGTCCTTGCCTGGGGCACAATAATTGCTCAAATAATCTTAACTGTCACATTGTTGGGAAGTCATAACCCTGTGTTTTCTTAGTAATACTTTGTGAATCAGACCCTCCAAGCCTACCCTTCCCTAGGCTGCCCCACAGGCAGTGACTTGGATGAAAACTTGGCTACAGGGACCCCTTTGGTGGCCACAGATGGCCACAGGAGTCTGTCCCACCGCACGTGCACTTGGCCCTAGCACTTCCCATCCAGAGGTGAAGTTGGATTCCCCTCCTCCTGGAATCCCAGAAGGGACACTGCCTGGGTTCTGAGCCTATAGCAGAAAAGGCCACACAGCTTTCCCCTCCCTCTGGGAAAGCCAGCTGCCACAGTAGAAGCCCAAGTACCTGTTGCCCTGGAGAGACCTAGACATGCCAGTGTGCCAGTGGAGTCGTGCTGGACCCTCCAGACCAGCCCACCCACACTTAGTGCCACGCAGAGCCTGCCCGAGCTCCCCACCCAAGGCTTCCCTGTCCCTGCAGCAGTGGGGAGGGGGCAGGGTGGAGGCGCCAGCTGAGGGTGGCTGCTAGGCAGACCCAGGATGCCTCGGCCTGCTCTGAGAAGCTCCAACGCACTCACATGGAATCTGACCCAAAGGAGGGGTGTCCCCACTGTGGGCTGCCTTTGAGGATGACCCCCGAACTGCCCCCAGCCTGCTTCTCCCATGCACGTGTCTTTCCAGCTCCATGTCCCATGATGTCCTGGTGGCTTGGAATTGGCCACTGTGGTGGGGATACCCACATCACAGAAATGGGCAAACACTCTAAGTCAGGCTTACTCCCGCTTCTTCCCACTGGGCAGGGCCTCTTCCTTCAAGGATCGCCTGGTCTCTTGGGAAGGAGACAAGTCTCATGTGACCACATCACTCCCACGGACCCCCTGTCCTCAGCACTTGGGGGCGGGGTGGCTCAGGCTTACCAGGGAGGTGGTCCATCTGTCTCTTGCTCCTCTGGCCACTCACCTAAGTCCAGGGTTCCACACTGCTTTCTCACAAAGACCCAGGCTCGCAGCATTCTTCCCATTTCACAGTCAGGCAAACTGAACCCTCTGAAGGTCAAAGGCCTTGCTGGAGTCTGTGTCGCTTCCTTGGGGCAGAGATGAGGGTCAGTCTCATGTTTCTTGGACTGAAGAGGACTCAGAAAGTCTGTGTCTTATCTTCCCCCCTTTCAGGTTGCAAAAGCCCAGAGCAGGGAGGGAACTTGCCTGCAGGTCCCAAACAAGTTAGAGGTAAAGTTCAGGACCCCTGATCTCCAACCAGGGCTGCCCTCACATCCTTTTCCTGACCCTGAGACCCCTCCAGTCGCCACCTCTGACCGAGACCCTGGTTCCTAGAGTGTGGACTGCAAGTCCCTTGCTGGTGGTTTGTGTGCAAGTTCAAGTAAAGACACCTCCCCCGACTCTGTCCCTGACCTAGGGTCTCAGCTCTGAGACTGTCTCCCACGTGCTTGGTGGGGAGTTTGCCAGGGCGCTTCTGCACTTTGTATTCTGCTTATCTCCTTGCAGGGTCAATATTTGCTATTTAAATGATGCTGTTTGCCTGTGTTTGAGGTCTTGCATTTTGCCCTGTATTCTGGGTCCTGGGAGGGAGAACGTGGGGTCATTGAGGTGGCCTGGAGCTCCCAGCAGCCACTGGGAGCTGAATCCCCTGCCTGGGATTCACTCCTTTTTTCTGCATTTCATCCATATTGATACTTAGATACATGCACTTACTCGTGTTCACAACTATTCTTTCAAAAAAAGTTTCTCGAATGCCAGCCTCCTGCCAGGCACTTCTAGGTCTGGGACGCATAGAAGTGAATCAGTACAGTGTGTAGCAAAGACCACTACACTCTTGCCAAAACTCACTCCTCTATCTCCAGTGCCCTCCAGCATCCACTGCAGGTAGATGTGGTCAAGGGATGAGTTTGGGCCAGAAGAACAATGGCAAAAGAGACAAGTGCCGCTTCCCAGGCCTGTCTCAAAATCTTCTCCATCTTCTGGCTGGAATCAGAAGATCCAGTGGAAAACAAGGTTGCACCAGCCAAGATGGCAGCCATGAGGTACACTTGATTAATTAAATTGGAATTTTAGTAAAATTTAAAATTCAGTTCCTCCATTGTGCTAGTCATATTTCTCTTTTTTTAAAACAAGTTTTTATTTTTAAATTTTTTTGTGGGGGAGTGGTAATTAGGTTTACTTATTTTTGTATTTGTTTAAATTTAATGAAGATACAGGACCTCATGCATGCTCAGTGGGTACTCTACCACTGAGCTATACCCTCTTCCCAGCTAGTCATATTCCAGATGTTCACTAGTCACACGTGCACACACAGACATCTCAGAAGGCTCCAATGGAGGGCGTGGCTCCAAGAGCCCAGGGTCCTGAATGACCCAGGGGAAGGCTGCCCATCCACCAGGAATTACATGTTGAGCTGTGTGTGAGAGAGAAACTTTTACTAAGTTCAGACTGAGGTGGGGAAGGTGTTCGTTATTTGCTCTAAGTAACACGCATCCTCTTGGCCTGGGAAGCTGTCCGTCTAGTGGAGGTATAGCCCATAAACAGCCAAGCCTGTGAGGTGTGGGAATGAGGAGAGAGAGAGAGTCATGGAGGCTTCCAGAGCCTGAGCCTGGACACAGGAGGGAAAGTTTGAGAAGGTCAAACAAGTGCGGTGGGCGGAGAGCACCTGGGAGGCACTTTGCCTGTTTTTCTCCCTTGCTTCCTAAAATCTGTCTCTCTCTCCTCCCTGGGCACAAATGGCCCCCCACTCTCTTCCTTCTTGATACTGACATCACCAACCTGATCCTCCCTGGGGGCTCATACCATCCGCATTCTCAGTACCTGTTGTTTGAGGGGAAAGGGCGCTGATTTCATGGTAAGACGGAGGCGTGGCTGAGGTCAGATCATCTCCTTGGCCTCGGGGTGTGGTGTGTGACCCAAGGCAGATCAGTGAAATGCAGGGGCTGCAGGAACTACAGACAAGGAAGGTCCCTTTCCCTGGGGGTTCATGAGCAGGTGGGAAGTAAGCTTGGAGCCTGGAGGTGGTCATCTTTCTCATCACTAGGGGAGAGCCTGCTGGTGATGGAAGCAACACGAAGGAAAATAGAGCCAAGAAATGAAGAGAGACTGAGTCCCCAGACACTGTCTGCTGAAAGCAGGTAGCCCTGGGCATCTCGGTTAAGGCTCATAAATGCTCTTTTATTTATTTTTTCAATTGACATATAGTCAGTTTCCAATGTTGTGTCAATTTCTAGTATAGGGCATCGTGTTTCAGTCATGCATATACATCCATATATTCCTTTTCATCTTTTTCATTATAAGTTATTACAAGATCTTGAATACAGTTCCCTGGGCTATACAGTAGAAACTTGTTTATCTATTTTATATATAGTAGTTAGGATCTACAAATCTCAAACTCCCAATTTATCTCTTACCCTCTTTCCCTCCTGGTAACCGTAAGTTTGTTTCCTATGTCTGTGAGTCTGTTTCTGTTTTGTAAATGAGTTCAATAAGTGCCCTTTTAGACTTGAACAAGTTTTAGCTGAGAGTTGTGAGTAATAGACTCTTCCTTTCACCCAGGTATTTCCTTAGGTAGAGCTCTGTGAGCTCATTTATATGGCGGTGCCAAGTCTCTCCGTCTGCCCTACTTGAACATCAAGTGACCCTCAGGCTAAGCCTAAGTAAGGATCGCTCGTAGCTAAGGGGGATATTGGGCATTATTTTCAGGTTGAGAAGCTTTACTGCATCCACACACAGGTGAGAGAGAGAGAAGGGAAGCAGGGACATTCTGGGCCCAGAGCCAGCCCACTACTTCCCCTTAGCAGAAGACGAAGAGGGACTGACTTCAAAGATGAAGTGAAGTGGCTCTGAGACAAAGTGGAGATGCCCCACAGAAGCATCTGACATCTGAAGACAAAGGGTCCTCACATCAGCCGCCAGTCTCTGGCCAGGGTGGGGACAGCCGGCCTGTAGCGAGGGACATCCCCTTTGCCCTCAGACTTCCTGGGGCCCAGCGCCCACTGTCCCTGAGTCTGGGGTGTCCTCCTGGAAGGCAGACTGAGCTCCCTTCTTCCCCCAGGAAGGGCCCAGGACCAGGGGGCCTGAGGTATGAGGAAAGAACAGCACAGG